TTTGTGTGCCTACCTGAATTTTTCTGTATAGGGACTTTTTTTTTTTGTTATAAATTTGGTTTATTTTGTCCCCCCGAGAATCCCCCATTGTGGGGGAGAGGGGCGGGGACAAATTATACCAAATTTATACCAAAACACAAGTGTCTCTTCAGGCAACATTGCAGGTAGTCACACCACCACCCTTTTTGAACACCTGGAAAACTTCTTTCAGGTCTTTCCACCTAAATTAGCTGCATCCTTTCCAAAATTATAATCAACCCTTAGGGGTTATATGGCTGATTTCAGGAAGCTCAATCTGACAGATTCTTAAGACACTCAGTTTTGGTTTCCCATTTCTACGTTTTTTCATTCAGCAATTCTTGCCCTGAAAAGCCTTGCAGAATATTTGCTCTTGTGGCAATATTTCATTTCCCTTTAATATTAAAATCAAACAGTAAATCAGCTTCATGGAACTTGTCTTGTGATTGACCAGCATTTTTTAATTAACACTAGGAAGAGAGGCTACTTAGACAAGGTAGCTCTTCACATTTACTTTTGCAAGCTGTGAGATAACAAACTTTCTGCTCTAACCAGTTAGATAATTATCTCCCTCTTTTGCATTCTCAGGCACCCAATACTTGCTAGACGCTTAATCCTCATTAATGTGTAACTTCCCTTGCTGATGCCTAACTGAGCATCTCTGCGGGTGGAGGGGGAGAGGGGCTGCAGGGCTATAAAAGTTGCCCAACTAACACAACAAAGAGGTGAGTCTAATTCTGGAGACCATCCCCACCATTTGGGCTCACCATGGCAGATTGGGGAAAGACTCCTGGTTCTGTAATGGGGACAATTTTAATAAACATGATCATGTTTCCTGGCACCTCCTTTAAAGTTCTCCAACTCTGGTATCCATCCTGCAAATTCTGAATTAGTTGACACACAAGAATTTCAAAAAACAGAACTGCTCCAGATTCCTTGAGCCTCAGATTTCTTTCTCCACCTTTTACTTTTTTTGGTGTAAGCTTCAGTGACTTAATTTGCAAATTGGTTATTTTACTTGTGGTAATACATCTCGAATAAAGACTGGCCAGAGGCTGACATTAGCTTCCCATTAAACTCTAAGGCCAAAAAAGTAAAGAAAGTCAAGTGGAACTCGTTCATTCAAAATAATTCATTTAAACATCGTTTACGATCATGGAACGTGGTGGCACCAAGCAGCGTCCCTATGGCCGTGCGGGTGCCCCGGGTGCCGCGCTGGCAACCAGAATTAGTTTCTAGAATTATTAGCGCTGCGATGGCTACTCTGCAAACCCCAAGCTCTTTTACGGAGGTGCTGCGAGGGGGACGGACGGGCGACCCCACGCCATTTGCACCAGCTGATGGCTCCGGGTGGTCCCCGAAGGCGTCCTTGAAAACTGGCGCTCGTCCTCCTCGACCTTCGCCAACACGGGCGAGTCCGAGCGGGGCCCGGCAGGGAAGCTGCCTCAGCGTTGGAAGGC